GGGCCAAGCTGCCTATCTGTTCTCCAGACCATTTAGTGACTTCTTAGTTCAACAAGTAATGGCGCCCTGCGTTCCTTCCTGACATCACATTAGTCCATCCTCTGCAAGCCCTACAGTGTTACCACGCATGGATTTCAGACCTCACCATAGTCCCCGAGGCGCTATTGCAGGAACCACGTCACCTACTATCTTTTCTGGCCCGCACCCTATTCCCTTCTGGGGAGACACACGCCCTTTGCTCTAAGTGGCCCCAGTGGACAAGGCTCACAACAACCCCAAGGAGCCACTAACCCAGGAGGGGAGACTGCTGCACCCGATCCTCAGGAGCATGGGGTTCTAGTCTACAAATGAAGAAGTGGGGTGCAAAACAAAGGCAGGTTCTCAACTTCTGTAATACGTTTAGCATTAAAGTCAAACATGCAGAATAGTGAACAGGCGAACACACAGTATGGAGAGAAAAAAAGAGTGTGATGTCATGGAAAAAGAGCAACGTAAGAAATCTAAAAGGTTCTGCCAGCAACAACTCTGCCTAAGACACAGGCACAGCCTCCTACAAAACGAGAGGCTTAGGACCTTTACAGTGTCTTCCAGGTCTAATAGTCTATCATCCTCCAATCTTAATATAAGAACCCTTAGTTCAATAACTATAATAAGTAACAAGGAGCTACTATCTTGAAAAAAAGGTAAACTAAGGCATTAAGAAAACAATTATTCTATCTGCTAAGAGTACTGATTTTCAGTAACTAAGATTAGCATGCAGGCCTCCAAGCCTTAGCACACATTGTATTCTTCGCATTTGAGAACTGGTCTTACAAATGTCAACCCATACATCTAGGTTGCAAAGGAAAGGCCATTCAAATCCTCTAAGATAACGTTCAGCAAATAGAGAGGATGCCAAAAACATGTATACACAATTTAAGAGACATTATCTATGTAGCAGTGGTTCGCCATAATCAGAAGTGTCTGGATGCTGATGGTAACCACTTTGAGCACCTCTTGTCATTGCAGAAGTCAAAAGTGACTATATATTGAGTATTACAATTTTAATAGTTTTTTTCTTTCTTAAAATGTGTATACATTTTTTTGGCACCGTGTGTGTGTGTGTGTGTGTGTGTGTGTGTAGTTATATATTTATATACTTTATATATGTCATTTGTTATTATACTATATATGTTTATATACAAAATATATATGTTTATATAAAAATATATATGTTTATACATAAACATATAACATGCATAAAGTATATAAATATATATGTATGTTATTTTACTTGAAGTTAGTGCCTAGAAGTATATAATTTCATGTTCAGTTTCTTATTATAAATATAACTAAAATACTAACATTTCATATGTAAGCTATGACGAACACTAGTTAATCTGTATAGCTACCTAACAGAAAAACAGGCATAAATTAAAGTATCATGTTATAAAGCTTACCGCACATCAGTCATACTTCCAGGCTCCTCTTAGTGTATATGTCACTGCAAAGCAGTCAGTGAAAAAAGTAAGTTTGCCTGAAAGTCCTTTGTTGCCATATGTCAGAGAACAGAGAGCTAATCACCTACTTTCTATAGTTTACCTTCTGTCACTAACCGTCTTTATCATCTGTTAAAAACGGTTAAAGATTTCTACCTAAATTTTTGGCAATTCCCTGCTATGGCTTGAAATTTAAAAGCTTATATTTGGGCTATATTTCAGTTTCTATTCTCATTCCACTTTGCAGAGAAGTAGAAGCTACTGTCCTTGGAACCTTAGCTGGTATTCAGCTGACCCCTGCTGGCCTCACCTTTCATGTGTCTGCGTTTATCAGATGCTACAATACCTCACTGCATCCTACAATTTGAACTTGCATTTGATGAGTCTGCCATATCAAAAACATGACGCAGGAAAAGGATGGGTAGCCCCACCACTGCAAGTGGAAAGATGCCTCCCATCCTTAGAACTTCGTCTATTATACTTGCAAAGACCTAGCAATTAAATTCACACTAATATTCCACAGAAGTATTTCCTGGAACCTACCATTTTATTCTACAAGTTAATTCATTCAACAAACATTTACAGATTTTCTAAAAGACCACAGAGAAGCAAAGATGCTCAGAATTATAGCACCTGCCCTCCAGGCACTTACAAGTCATTGAAAAGATACATTTGAGAATCAAATTCTAGCATATGATTGACCATCACAAAGGTGAGAAGAAAGCAAGGCTACCATCAAGTTGGTGGGATATCCTGCCTCATGGGTCTCAGTTCACTTGAGATTGTTCACTGAACCAACCCAGGAAACACTGATCTCTCTCTTCTTTATGAAACCACTGTGTTTCATGAACAATAATGGCTGCCATGTACTGATGATCTATTATGTGTCAGGGACTGTGTATTGGTGATTTCTAGATACTGTCATATTTACCCCACTTGTACCTTCGTGAGGTATGTATTTTTATGCTTATTTTATGGATGCGGCAAGATCTGGTCTAATACTGATCATACTACACTACAATGTTTTTCTTTTAAAAAGACATTTCCCCTCCATACAAGAGTAAGCATCTTTAACATGGGGGATGATGTCATTGTCATCTTCGTAGCCCCAGAATCTCGTATATCCCCAATACTTGGCACATAGTAGGAGGTGCTCAAGAAATGTCTACAGAATATATAAATGAATATATTATTGAACAAATGTGGTTTCTAAGTGTATACTATGTGCATGACCTGTGCCTCAGTACTGAGAAAGTGGTAGAGGACACAAGAGGAACAGTTTGATTCCTGAACACAGGTATCCATACTTCACTAGGCGAGAAAAGAAACCCCAAGACATGAGTAAGCAGAATGCTACCGCTAAACACTAGTCGGCTCCTACAACAGAAGATGGTGCCACACAGGTGCTGGACTTTATGGGAACCAGCAAGCTATTAAGAGGAGGGAAAGAAGAAAAGAAAAAAGAAAAATTCATGAAAAGGAAAAAACAAGAGTCATGAAAAGAAATCATGGAAAGAAGAAAGAAAATCATGAAAACACATACAATGTAGAGATCCGTAATTTCTGTTACATTCCCAAAAAGCTAATGTATTATTTTCTTTTTCAGTACTTCCCCTTATTTTTCAACATCTCTTTTCTTGACACTTCAGACAGATGAAGATAAATGAAGTACAGTAGTTAAATTTCTTTGTTTGGATACAAATGATCTGTGGTGTCAACATTATTGTTATGTAAGCATTTTTAATATCGCGTCTAGCAGATGAGACTTCTGCTTCAACATATGCTATGGGAAAAAAATGATTAAAATGAATTCATGACTAAAATAACTAAACAGTCAACAAAAACTGCCTAGCGAAGATTATAAATGAATCTGGTTGGCTGTGGTCGCTAACTACCTAAGGTAACCCTGAGATCTGCTCTTTCTCCCCAAACAGGAATGAATAAGCCCGCTACTTTCTCTGTTGTCCCACCCTATGCCACACCATGGCTGCAGAACCCTTCCTTCAGAGGGGCTGGACTTGAACCTCTTCCTCCCACACCTTCCCGGGTACAGTAAGGGTACGGTTCTTCTGCTCAACAACAGCCATCCTGAAACTCTGAAGTTCACTAAGGACATGTGTGGCCCCACGGAGGACAAAGCGGAGAGAGGTCAAGCTTCTGGGCTGTGGGGTCAGACTGTGGTCAGGCTGAAGTTGTGCACCTGGAATATTGGGCAAGTCACCTTCTCAATCAAGTAGACTAAGACTGCCTTGATTATAAAACTGAGCTATGGAACACAGAGAGCTTAGCATACTACAGGGGACATGAGTGTCCAATATACACGAGCGACTACCATTATTACAACCCCTACATAACTTCCCCTGGAAGTCTTGCCCTGGACTCAATCTGAGCAGAGCTAGGACCTCAGAATCCTTACCCTCGCTAAACTGGGTTGTAAATGTGTTCACTGAGTCCATCCTACCTTCTTCCCGCCCTTTCCCTTTCCTGCCAATAATCAGCACCACGGGAAAGCTTCCTGTGCTCATATATAAATGAAGCTCCACTTATATACTTGTGTGGGTCTTAGTTTAGTAACTACCGTATTTCCCCGAAAATAAGACCTAGCTGGAAAATAAGCCCTCGCATGATTTTAGGTGCCGAAATACGAAACCGTGGCATACTGAATATTTTAAGATGAAGGAGTTTGTGGAAAAGGCACCCTTCTCCCTGAAACAGGTCATAAAACCCTCATGTGAGGGGTGCGTGTCCTCCATATCCTGGAGGAATCATGCTAGGGCTTCTTCTCCAGCCAGGTCTTATTTTCAGGGAAACACGGTAGCAGTCTCAACTCAACCATATGGTCCAAACTTCAAACATTCTGCTCCAGTAATCCCTCATTGGCACTTGCTTCTGTGAGACCAGAAAAAATATAATGGCTACAACTGTAACATCAAAAGCACAGGACCATTTGTGCACAGAACTTGCAGCACTCACAGGACTCTATCTGGATCCCCGCTCACTATGTCTTTAGAATTTACGTCTCCCCCTTCTCACAGTATTTAGTAATAAACAAAGACTGCAGCACTTTCCAGATTTCAGGCCCCATGACAACTGTGACCTACACGCAACCTTCACATACACCATTCAGAACAGTCCAGCTTCCAATAATAGATAAAGAAATAACCAGAGATGTTTACATCAGATTAACGTTAAGTGTTTACATTTTACACATCACCATGTAAGTAAAATAGCTCACCAGCCAGGACAAAAATTAAAGGAAATGAAATGAAAAAAGACAAAGATTTCTTAGAAATGGAATCTTGCAGGGGAGGTGCATTCCAGGCCACCTGCAGTCTTAAGCCAATATCGAGAGTGTTATCTGACATACGCGGCTGTCAGAGGCTGTGTATCGGGCGACATGAGCTGTTAGATTAAGATTTCCCAGCAGACAGGGCTGCAGCACTTCTGCCTCCAGCATCTGGAGTCGTGTGGCATGCACATGACAAAGACCCTAGCTGACTGGGACACCTGTCAGCTGTCCCTTCACTCTCGGCAGAAGTCCGTCACTTCGCTCCCGAGGGTTACCCGGTCTACAAAGGGGATTCTCCCAACATCACAGAACATGAGCAAAACTTCCATCCATGGAGGTCCCTGACTCTGAAGCAAAGCCTGCATTCACCCCACAAAAAGTGTAACGGGGGATAATAACAAAAACTTGCCTCCTGGTCCTTCCCAGCACTTGTTCCTTAATCTGGAGATCACACACCTGCCCCCATCGATACCTGTGACAAGCAAACTTGTTCCACAGTCTTGGGAAGTCCAAATGTATTTAAAAGTTGCCATATAAATTATTTCCCCAACTTTTCACTCAATATAAACTTTTTACTATGACACAAGGCTGACAAAGGTTCTGTACTCAGATCCTGAGAAAACGAGTGCTTGTTTTCTACCAACTCCCTGAATGCCAGGGGAAAAAAATCTTGATCTTAGAGATTGGTATGTAGCAATAATTTACCAATATAACTGTGAATACAAAAGACATTGTTTTTGTTCATCTTTGTATATGCAGCACCTGGCACAGGGCTTGGAACATATGAGACACTCAATATTTGTTGACTGAAGAATAGATCTGTTGCCTCACAAATGTTTGATTATCGGGCTTTTTGCGTTCCAACTTCGAATGGAACATTTTTCTCCCATTGGCTTTCATTGCAAAAGTGGAGTTGTATATCTTTGGAAAATATTTGACCCCAAGATATAATAAAATCACATTTTAAAGACCAACAATCATTTTAGAACTTCCTGAATATTAATTGATAAGAAAATATGAATAAAGAAAATCCCCCAAGGTCTGATGTTTAAAGTCCAAAGCTGTTCTGAACTTAGAATATATTTTTTCATATAAATGGTGTCTTGAATAATAATGAGGTCAGATGATTTCAACTTATAGTTTCATTACACGTTTAAAAGCTTTTGTAGTAGAAGCTCAAGAATCTAGTCACTATTTAATAGTTGATCTTTTCTAAAAATGTACTTGGCATACTTTATCTGTTACTTCAGGACACCAGAAGAACTTACCTCCATGTCCACTCAGAGCTGAAGTCAAACAGGTTTGGTTTCAAGTCCAGGGTCACCATTTGCTAAGTGACCTTGGACAAGTTTTACTAAACCTTTGCTGCAGTTACCATACCTCTAAGATGGAGATAACAACACCAACTTATGGGAATGTTATTCCTGACATATACGTCTTAATTAGCTTTGCTTTTCTGTGTTTCCTTCTACCTGATCCTGCCTGTAATTTGCCAGAGACATCCATCTGCCTAGGGGTGTTTAAGCTTCCTGAAACAGGGTTACAAAGAGAAAGGCTCTGTGTTCAGTTCTGACACCCAGAAATCATTAATTTACGTCAACAGCAAGAAAACATTTTTGAAACCCACGTCTTGTCAGAAGAAACCATGTTTTCTAAATCCTGTAGACATCAGTTTTAACAATTAGGGATGAGGAAGGCACAAGAACCTCACTGGTGGTGACCTGCTTCCCAGAGCATAGCTGCACATTAGAATCATCTGGGACCCTCTGGAACATTCTATTACCTCGCTGCACCCCTGGACATTTTGATTGGTCTGGGGTGAGGTACTCGGGCATCAGTAATTTTCTAAAGTGCTGATTCTCAGGTGTAGCCTGGATTTAGAACAACAGCTCTAAGAGGAGCCTCCACGTGGTTCAAAACTATAACCAACACAGAAGAGGAAGCAATACCCAGCCGTGGCTTCCTGGCCCCCACAGCCGTGCGTGTATGGCGTGCAGGGGACCCTGGACGTCCCTGTAACCCAGCAGGGTGATGTGGAGACTCTGACCGGAGGGTGGAAGCAGGAGACAGGCCAGGATGGAGAGATCACAAGAGCAGAAGCCAAGGCCAGTCCGGGGACCGGACCAGATAAACCACCTGGGGCAGAGGTGAAAAGGACCAGGGGACAGCCTTGCTCCCACTGCCACAGAAAGCAAACGAAGGAGGAAAATGCAAAGGGCTGGGCATTTACCTGCAAGAAGCTGAACTACCCAAGAAAAACTACTTCAACTAGACGAGGCAGAGGCACATAAACTGGCAAGTGTGTCCTACTCACGCCATTCCTCGCCTTACCCTCTCCCCATCCAAGTTGAGGTGGAGGCTTGTGCGGAAAAGTAGCTAGAGAATATAAAGTTATAGAATATAAATAAGCCGTTTTTATTGAAATGATCCAAAACATGAAAAAAGGAAAAGGTGAGAGAGCCATATGCCCTGCCAGTGTCAAACCGGGGTAGCATTTAGCAGGCCTGCCCGAGGTTTACTTAATTCTCTAGAAGAATGCCCCTCATTTGCCTTTGTTACTTATCCCTCGGTTAGCATGCAGACACTGTGGAATTACCGGCTAACTCATAGGTTTCTGCCCCACAGGAAGGAGAATCCTAAAAGCTGTGGTTTTACTGCAGAACATTAGCAGTTTTGACTCCAACCTAGCAATCCTATTCTAACTTTTTTGTTTTTTTAATGACTAAACGCTCTTGGAACCCACATTAACCGTTACTGGTTCCCTCATTCATAAGCTAATAAATCACCAACACATTTCGTTCTGCATTTCTATGCGAGTCAGGTTCTAACTGTTTGAACATTATACTCTGATACCATATTTTCTTCGCAGATCTAACAGTGTATGTAAATCTACTACCAAGAGTGGATATTTCACAAGATAATTAAAGTAAAGCACCTAGCACAGTGCATACACACAGCAAATGCTCAGTAAATTATTATTCATACCTGCTAGTGGCCGGGGGGGGATTTTACCTGGCCCTCAGCAGCAGTCATGGACTCACCCAGGGGATCCACAGAAGTCATGGAGGTCAACCCAGGTCAGTAGTTACATGGAGGCTACCTCAGCAGGTGCCATTTGCAAATATTATGAACATAGGGAGCCACTCCACTTAACATAATTCCCAAACTATCAGTGCAGATGGTGAAAATCACTTGTATATTTTTCACAGTAAGTCTATGGGCCAATGGGGAGAAAACAACCAAAACTTAGCAAAATCAAATACACTGATCTGAAAGAAGCCATCTCCTTGGTGACCAAGTGCACTCCTCCATACTTCAAAGGGATGTTTGGATGATACTACAAACTTACGTGATTGCCCTGGCTACAGGAGAAAAAGTGATACAGTCACGTAACTATACTAGCGTGCAAACAGACAAGAAACTAGTCCAGGGAAGGAGCAAAAGCTGTCAAGAAAAAGGCTCTATGGTTAATTTCTTAAATGATACACTGCGTAGGTGTCGTTTCTCTAGAGGTAGTTTCTTCGCCAGTGAAGTGCACCTGTGAAAACAATAACTTGTCCAAACTTAAAATCAGGCTTTTAGGAAACTTCAAGGCTTGACTTTGACTTCAACTTAGAGGGTGAGAGTTTTTGGACACATCAACACACTGTCAAGGCCACAGCCATTTGGTGATCCTTCATTTCACTGCGTTCCTTTCAAGTTTCTAGAGTTTAGTTTTCCTAATATCAATAAGCAATACTGGCAAGACAGAAGGAACAAAAGCACACAAGCCTCACGAAACAAAGAGAAGAAACTCCATATTATTTTTTCTCACTTTCTCTCTTTTTCCCTTGCCCAGGCAAGGGAAACAAATCTAGCTTTCTTCCGAAGCAAACACACATAAGGAGACACCCAATCTTCAGAAGTTACCACATTGACATCCTCATCATCAATGACTCTATCCCCACATACAAAGCAGTTGAGAAAAAAAAGTAATCATTAAAAAACAAATTTCTGACCCCATTCCTCAGGCAATTTAAAACAGGCAATTTTCCACATGTTAAAATAATAACATAATTTCCCCCACTTAAAAACGAAGACTTGGGTACACATTGTGATGGTATAATTAAACAAGCTTTTACTTTAAGTACAACAGGAAATACGAAGGTTAATAAAGTTAAAAAAGAAACAGATTCGAGAATGCTGGCATTTCCATGTCCTGCGAAATACCGACGATGAGATGGTCAAGACGAGCATCAGCTACAAATGATGTGCACAGCCTGCTAACAATAGGGAAATGTCCCCCTTTGGTTTCTTTTCTGACTACTTGTAAAATAATATTCACACGTGAATTTGCAATTCAAATTCGACGCCTTATGAGTACATCTTGCAGATCACGCTCTGAGAAGGGAGAGAGCTAACAGTTGCATGGAAAGTATAATTCGCTGCTGGCGTCTAGCCAGAAACACTAGACCAAATGTTTAGAGACCACGAGACATCTAAGCAAGCCCCGTGCATCTGGGCTCCTCCATTCTGGTTGTTGCTGTGTTATGTGGACCTCCAAATAAAGGGCCAAATACATTTGAAATTCATGCATTTAAAACCATATTTCTTTTTAAACAGGGGACAGAAAAGAAAGCAATCAGAAGGCCCTTTGAGGGCATTTGTAACAGCGGTGACAGGCAGTCCCTGTGATTTAAACAACACTAATAACCATATGTCTGGACCTATGTTCAGCTGTAATTTACACATTAAGTATAGGCTTTAATTTTCATACTTGAGAAAACATGCCAAATATTCAGTATTTATTATCATAGTTAACTTGCAGCATGAGAAACCTAATTACAATAGAAAGAAAAAGATATTGGTCTTGGGGAAAATGAATTTGATTATCGTACAGGTAGGCGGTAAACGAGTCACGGCTACCTCCCACAACCAGTCCAATATGTCTGTATCTTCAACTTACTATAACTGTCACGCATTAAAGCAGACACAATCGCTGTGTGGGCAAATATATTGCTAATAAAAATCCATTCTAACACACTAGTCGCTCCAGCACAGCACTGTCTAATTATAGGTATGTGCTGTAGTAAACCATGTGACACAGTAAAAGGCATGATATTCTACAAGTCTTCCTTAAACAAAGTACTGTGAGCAGGTATTGCCAACGATTACCTGACAATATTCCAGGGTTAAAAGGTCATGCTGAAACAGAAGTCTTTGTAACACAGACATAAGCGGCTGAGCAAATGGCAGAGGGAGATCAGGCAGGGAGTAGCGGGGATGTTGAAAAAACATAAGGAACAAAGCCAACAGATAGCCATTAGATCATATCACCCTTTAAAGATAATTGTGGGTCCGTGGCAACCTCATCATAAGG